GTTTAAGAAGGATTAGGAGGCGTGGCCTTGTTGGAGGAGGTAGACCATTGGGAGTGGGCTTTAACGTTTCCAAATACCAAGCCAGGCTCATTCTGTCTCTGTGAGCAACTTTCAGGTCAGATGCGAGCTCTCAGGTCCTTCTCCAGCACCCTGCTTGCCTGCCTGCTTCTGCATTCCATGATGGTCATAAACTTACCCTCTGAAATTATAAGCAAACCCCAAGTTAAATGCTTTATTTTATAAGTTGTCTTGGCCCTGGAGTCTTTTCACAGCAATAGAACAGTAACTAAGACATATTAGAAATGTCCCCCACAGGCTCATGCTTTGAACACTGGGCAACCAACAATTTCTGCTGGAAGAATCCCAGCATGGTGGATTTTGCTAATCCTCTGGCTACATTCCAAGAGCATGCCAGTAATCAGTTGATGGACTTAATCAGACACAACTTCAACATCTACTGTGATTACTAAACCCTTGGGCCTACAAAAGTAACAGGCATGGTTTTATTTGAACCCAGGATTGAGAAACTGGAAGAAATATAGAAAGACAGCAGCTTGTGGTAACTGTCTCACATCTTTTGGGGGATGTGGTTGTTTGAATGAAAATAGCCTCCATAGGCCCATAGGGAGTGGCACTATTAGGAGGTGCAACCTTGTTGGAGAAAGTGTGTCACTGGGGGTGGGCTTTGGGGTTTCACAAGCTCAAGCCAGGCCCAGTGTCTCTCTCTTTCTGCTGCCTGTGGTTCCAGATGTAGAACTCTCTACAACTTTCCCAGAACTATGTCTGACTCCATGCTAACATGTTTCTGACTTTGATGATAATGAACTAAATCTGTATTGTAAGGCAGCCCCAGGTAAATGGTTTCCTTTGTAAGAGTTGCTGTGGTCATGGTGTCTGTTCACAGCAATAGAAATCCTGAGTAAGACAGGGGACGAGAAGATTGCAGAAACATTTGGAGGTGGAGCCTTGTTGGCAGATGCAGAGCATGGAGGTGGACTTGGAGAGTGATAGGTTGTCTAGCACCCTGCTTTCTGATTTGTTGAGATTTAATAATGCACTCCACAGAAGCTAGCCCTGCCACCATGTCTTTCTTCCCCTGTTGGGCTGGCTATACTCTAAACTGGGAATCAAAACAACCCCTTTCTTCCGCAGACTTGCTTCTGACAGGCATTTGGCCACAGTGGTAAAAAAAGTAAATGGTGGCACACGTCATTAACTCCAGCATTCAGGAGGCAGATAGAGGCAGATCTCTGAGTTTGAGGACAGTCTGATCTACAGAGTGAGTTCCAGGACAGCCAGGGCTACACAGAGAAACCCTCCCTGTTTGGGAAAAAAAAAAATCAACCAAAGAAATAAATGAATACAAATGTAATACCTTTTGTTAATTGTCCCAATCCTAAGGGTACAGAGTGGTAGCTCACTGTGGTTTTGATATGCACTTCGCTAATGTTATTGATCATCTGCTGATGTGGGTATTGGCATTTGCCTGTCTTCTTTGGGATTATTATAGATTCGGGTTCCTTATCCCTTTTTAAATCAGGTTCTCCTTTTATTGCCAAGGCGTAGTAATTCTTTATTCCAGATTCAGGTCCTTTGTTCGACACACTAAGTGCCGTACCCTCCCCCACTTCTGTGGACTGTCATTTCTGGAAAATACCTTTTGAAGTACATTTCAACTTTCAGTGAAGGCCAGTTTGATGTTTTTTTTTTTCTTTTGTTGTTTGAGTTTCAGAACCATTCTCTAGCCCTAGTCATAAAGAATTTTATAATGCTGGCCCTTACATTCAAGACTGTCGTCCATGTTGAGCAGATTTCTGTATGCAGCATGAGGCAGATGGTCTCATATCATTGCCTTGGCACAGGGTATCTTGTCAACCCAGAACCATTTGTTGAAAAGACCTCCCTCCTACAATTGTCTTGGTACCCTTGTAGGAACTCAATTTACTGTAAATGTCAGAGCTTATTTTTGGACTCCCATTTCTATTGATCGATGGTACCTCTTGAGGTTAGTATTGCATGGCTTTCATTATTACAGCTTTATGATCAATACTGAAAGCAGGAGATGTGGGCCCTTTATTTATTTTAGTAATATTTACTTTTATTTAAAAGAGGATCTCTCTGTCTCTGTCTCTCTGTGTGCATGTGCATGATGTGTGTAGGTGTCTTCTGAGGCCAGAAGAGGGTATTGGATCTGCTGGAACTGAAGTCATAAGTGGTTGTGAGCCACACTTGAGTTCCCAAGAAGAGCACCATCGTGGCGTTGAAGATCTGAGCTCGGCTCCTTGTCCCCAGTCAGCAATTCTACCGGTTGAGCCATCTTCCTAGTTGTGGAAAGCACTGGTCTTAAGTTTCTGCCTATGTTCAAAGACACACAAATAATTACTTGAAAGATGTGGTCAAAAACTGGAGAGTCTTTTGTGATCTCTTGTCCCTTGGACCTAAAAAGGCAGCAAAGAGCCAGAATTGCTTGATTCCAGGCATGAGGAGCCAGGAAAAGGGCAAGACTCTCCGACATCTTTTTAGTCACAGCCAGAAAAGGAAAGTTGAGCCTGAATTTACACATCTCTCCTTTACTGTGTTGGCTGCCTCCAGGAAAAAACCTTCCTCCTCCCTCAGAACTGGTATAGATGTTCCTGTCTATGTGTGTCTCCAGTGTCTTCGGGGACATTTCCTACATGGAACTGGTATTGCTTACTTTCCCTTCTTGCCAGTATTCCACAGATTCTCACAGGCAGAGAGCATGTGTTGCTAACCACTGAACCTTCTCCTGCTGGGTACGTGGGGACAGATACTGAGTGGATTGAGTACGACATCTGTACGTCCGTTAGAACAAAACCATTCACAACGTTACAATATGTGTTTCTTAAGTTAGTGGCTTTGTGAGTCAATTTTGGTTTAGGGGGAAAGAGTATTGTTTGTCATAAGCAAACCAGTCCGAGTTCCCATTCTGGCTGAATAACTTCCAAGCTATGTGGCCTTCAGTAGGTCACCAGACTGGATTTGACCATTCGTATATGAGAGGGTAAGTGATTTCACCTCAAGCTTCCTTCCACTCTTAACATTCTCTGAGACCCTTTAAGACAGGGCAATGTAAGCCTCCTTCCAGACAAGCTATTCAACAGCAGCTGAGTCCCAACCTTCTTCAGAGGCCAATGCCTCCACTCTCTCTCCTATGTCTTAGTAAGTATTAATAGCCAAAGGCCCTGCTGCATGCGGTTTTTAATAGAATCCAATTTCAGTCCATTTAGAGAGGGACTTTTCATGCTGACTTGGTAATTTGAACTATGCCATCCCTGATGGACAGAGTGCATTTGCTCCGCCTCCACCACCTGCCCCAGGCTGCTGTAGCGGATACAGAGGGTGGAACAGTTTCATCAAAGCAGCTGCTGATTGGTTGTTTGACTACACAATGGTCACGTGATGGGAATACCAAGGGCACCAGAAGTCAAGTGGGTATTTTTCCTTCTATTTCCCGATACTTGCTTCTTCCTTGCCTGTCCTTTTGGGTAGATTGTCAGAAAGAAAATTGTGTTGCTCTTTGTATATGACCAGAGGGCAGTGGTCCTGAAATCCATCAGAATGTTGAGGAGTGGGCGTGAGGGTGCCAGATAGGGTTCAGCATTTTTCCTACCACCCTTCCCCAAAACTTGTCCCATTGACTAGGGTTACACAAGGGCGTTTAGAGAGCTGAGTGTGAGAACAGGGAGGGCAGACACAGAGGTACCATCCCACTATAAGTGAGGAAAATTGAGGCTGAGGAGAGTGGGGGCAGAAATAGTAGTTTATTCTATGCTTACTCTGTAGCAGACAGTAGCTGGGAGCCAGTTATTTCTTAATCTTCTTGTCCTTCTACGTAAGTTAGGAAAATGAGTCAGAAAGTAACTACCTCTGTGCCACACAACCAGTAGTCTGTTCAGTGAGCACTCTGACAAAGTTTCACTTATCCACTGTAAGAAGTCACGTGCTCTGAAGTGATGGGACTGGGTGCTCTATATGAGAGCTGGTCCCTAGCTTACCCGCTCACCATGCTAATGTCCTGGGCATTACACCTGGGTGTGTCCGGTTCATCGGGTCTCCGGCTGAGGCTGAGCCTGAGAGCATGCACTTTTCAAAAGTTCAAGAGATTATGGTGGCTTGAAAAGCAAGAGCCGGATCTCACAGGTTCCCTGCCAACCTGAATCACACAGGAAGTTCTCATTTCTCAGAGGCATAGACTAGTCCAGCCCTGACTTTTTATCCCAAACACTATCTACTGCTGAATCCACTGTTCGTCCATTGCAGGCGCTATGCTTAGCAGCTTCTGAACATCTACAATGGCAGACATTCTGGCTGCAAAGAAACCTGAGCATCTACTTTCGGGAGCACCCAGGCAAGGGGAGAGGTGAATGTAAAGAGGACATTCTTGCCAGGTAGTGATGGTGCATGCCTTCAATCCTGGCACTCAGGAGGAAGAGGCAGGAGGATCTCTGAGTTCCAGACCAACTATCCTGGTCTACACACTGAGTTCCAGAACAGCCGGGGCTAAACCTTGTCTCAAAAAGCAAGCAAGCAAACAAACAAACAAACAAAACCAGATGACATTCTGATTATTTGTGGAAGACACTGGGTACAGGCAGGGGGGCTTTGCTTTAGGAACACAGGCTAAGGTTTAGGGAGTGATCCTGGGTCAGCACGTAAAAGACTTACAAGGCAAGAATGGAATGTCTAACAAGGAACAGGGACCAGTATGGAAAGATCCACAGGCCCATCTCAGTGGCTTAGGGCTACATGGCTGTGGAATGGGGGATACTTTAAGAGGCCCAGAGGTGAGCCTGGCAAAGTTGGAGAGAGATGGTATAGGAAAGACCTTGAGCGTTAGTTAAGGGGTTTGGTAAGGGGTTTGGTTTTTGACTTTTATCTTAAGGATGATGGGATGTGACAAAGGACTTTTGAAGTCATAGAAGCACCAGCTCAGATTGCCTTTTTGATACAAGCAGGAAAAGCTAGCAACATAGAACAAATTAGTTGCAGAATTATAAGTTTATGTATGTCAAAAAGCACCATAAATGAAATCTGAAAGCAAAGCACTTGGAAAGCATATCTGTTGCATTTCTTGACAAAAATAATATTCTTAAAGTTACAAATAGATAATAAAGATAAACATAGATATAGATAAACATGTCAATATCAAATAAATAAGAAATTCACAAAGAAAGAAATACAAATGGTCAATAAGCATATGAAAATGTTACTCACTAATAATCAAAGAAAGTTAAGCAATAAGTTGAAATACCATTGACATACTGTTATTTGCCTATCAAATTGGCAAAAGTTTGATAAGTGATAAAACCTAGTGCTTTTTTAGGTCCAGAGAGCAGGGCGCTCTGGGGGCTGCAAACAGGACAGTGTCTGGGTACAAACTTCTACAGGGTATTGGCAACATGTATCAAAATCCTTAAAAATAGTCACCCAATTTCCTTCTTGGATTATATCCTAAGGAACTCGCCACAGACGTGTGCAAAATTTAGTGACAAGAATGTCAGTTATAACATTATTTACAGTAAAGACTGAAAACAAGTGAAATCATCTGCATTTGTGGACAGGTTACAAAATAAAGATCGCCCATACCATGAAGATGCTATCAGAAAAGTCCAAGACACGCCAAATGCCCATGACATGTTACATAAGGCAACAGGAGGGTGGGAAAAGCATCTGACATGCTACCACTTGTGATAAAAAGAATATATATATACATATCTTTGAAAAACAAGAATTTCTTGGCAGGGGTGAGGGACAGTACACAAGAAACCCAAGGGAAACTAGCTGTGGGCAGACAGGGAAGAAGAGTTACTTTCAACTACAATTTGTGTACTATTTGAATTTTATAGATCTGTGCATATATCGCATATTCTAAAATATAAATACACATTTGAAAAGTAAGTTATTAAAGAGTAGATACAGCACGATCCAGTTTTCTTCATTAAAAAACCAAACAAACAAAAAACCAAAAAACCCAAAGCAGGTGAGAGTACGTGTACACATTTATACCAAGAAGAACAAAAGATGGACAGAAAGGATGAAAGTGTTCTCTTGGTGCTCTTGTGATGAGCTGAGTGTCATCCTTAACTTTCCTTACATGTTCTACAACACACGTGTGTGGCTTTTATAACGCAACAAAAAGTCTAAGTTGTGTGCCAAAGGGTCTTTCACAAAAGTCCAGGCAGATGACAATGCAGGGCAGATCCATGCTGTGTGCCTTCTGCACAGTTCAGCAGTGGCACCTGCCAAGTCTGCAAGTAGACTATAGTCCTTGATTTTAGGAGATGTGGAAGAAGGAAGAGAAGCAGCTCTCTAAAGACTGCTGACAAATGCACAGAAAATTCATCCCTGCCACCCCCTTATGTTAACTAATATCCCAGACAGTTTCTTTTTTTGAGATGTGTGTGTGGGGGAGGGTCATTTAAGTCTGGGTCACAGTGAATGGAGTTCCCACAAGAGTATGTATCTGAGTCACTCATTGTGCTTTTCCAAATATTCTCTTTGAGGTGGCAATGGTTTTATTTCTGTGAGTACAGCCCTTCCCCCAATGCATTGATTCAAGCAAGCATTCTCTCTCTCCCCTTTATTGGAAATTAGTACCAAGACCATTCCTAATGCGTTGAAGAGCAAAGGAGGAGCCTGCCAGTTTGAACTCATTCTGTAAACCACCTCTGACCTCACTTTTGTCTTTCAGATCCTAACGGTTTGTCAGCTTCTGACCTCTGAGCTTGGGGATAGCACTGAGGGATGAGGGGATGGGCAAAGGCATAGGCCAGGGCTGACAGTAGATTGGGGTTGGGGTCATTTTGGAGGTCAAGAAGCCATTTTGGAGGAAGAAGATAGAATATGTTCAAAGTCAGGGAAAGTGGTCTTGGGATGGCTTTTTCCTTTTCTTCTTCTCCAGGGCCACTGTGGGACTCTGGATATTTCTAGCACCTTCCCGCAGCCCCCACTGAGAGTGTCTGGGGAGCTGTGTGGATATAAGCTGTGCTGCTGGCTTCTGGACCCTTCAGCAGCGACTGGATCTTGCACTGGCAAAGTGACGGTTTGAACAAACAACCCATAATTAACTTTGTGTCTCCCTTCAGTCTTTGCCTATCCTCTCACTGCTGGCCATACAGCCAGGTGGGTTGTTCAGGTTCATGCTGCTTCATCAGCAAATAGAACGACCAACACACAGATGTAATTACCAGGTCTGTTGTCTTTTTCCTGGCTGGTCACTGTTCCAGCCACTAGGGGTTCTGGCTTCTGGTCTCTTTCTGTCTTGCCTATGTAAATATAAGGGGGTGGAAGGACTGAAGTATGAATCATGTTTTGACTTCATGGAAATTGTTCTGCTCTCACACAGTTTAACTGTCCAACAGAGAGGCAGCTAAGCATAAGATAGTTAGTAGCCAGAGCTCTGGAACCAGTCAGATCTGGTTCAATCTTAGCTATGTCCTGTAAGGCCGTGCAATCTCAAGACAGTTAATTTTCCCGGCTGTCTGTCTTCTCCATCACCTGGGAATAATATCCCACAGAGTGAGTACATGAAAGAAATGACATTGTCCATGTAATGATCTGAAGATAGTGCATTTAATAAATCCTAACTATTAACATTATTGCATCTGTATATATTTTAATTTTATACAATAGTGTCTCACTAAGTCACACGAAAAAATACATGAAAGTGCCTTGAAAGTGTTTAAGCATCATATATATTAATGGTGTATTAATGGTGTCATTGGTAATAATCTCATATGGATTTCTCAGCTTTTCTATCTTCGTGAAGACTGAGACTCTGTCCTATATTGCACTATGGTGGGGGACCAGTAGGCCCTCAGGAAATGTTTCAATGCGGCATAGCATAAAAAGCATATGTGTCAGGAGCCAGGCTGGGACCCAATTAGTTTAAGGCAGGAGAGTCAGTCTGCATTCAAAATTTATCCATTCGACAAAAATTTGTTACGTGTTAGATACTGAGTTCAGATAATTTCGTCACAAAGGGGGGTGAGGTGTACAAATTCCCTCAAAGCCGAGTCCTGGAGCAGTTTCCATAATCCCAGCCCACTCCTGAAAGCACAAATGCTGTGGCCAACATGGTGCATACAGTCTTGGTCTAAGGACCACGGGCTTTACAGGAAGCTGTGGGCCACTCTGCCTAAGGGACAGGGAGTGAACTGCTTCCAACAGAAATGACAGGAACGGATGCCTGTGAGTTAGTTTTTATTTACATTAATTAGTCCCTCAGTCCACCCAAGGCTCTTTCTCTCCTTCCTCTGTCACCTACCCAGTCTGCTCTGCCCTCAACCTTTGGCCCATTTCACCCTGCCCTTTTGTTACAGCTGCTGGCTAGCTGGGTTTGGGGGAATGGTATGTGTGGTCACCAGAGGGCACCGAGAGTGGGCCTTAGTGGTATGTAAATCCTGGCAAAGACCTAACCTCGCAGTGGGAGGAAAGAAAGTACAAGCCTGGACAAGTCTGGGGGTGTGGCAGGCGCTCAGAAGGAAATTCACAACCTCAGCATTGGTCCGACCAGTGCTTCTTATGTACGTCAGCTCCAGAGACCTTTCAGTTGCTTCAAGATGCTCTGATCCACTGGGAAGGTGTAGAAGGGTCCAGATTGTGGGCTATGCACACCTGCCAGGCTCAGAAACACTGGCACAAGTCAAAGCCACAGGACCACCCCCAGTTCAGGAGACTCTTCCCCAGTTGTCCCATTTGCTGGCCTACTAGAGAAGAGGATAAGTCCATGTTTGGGCTGCCCACCAAGGTCCATGAGCGCCTCTCACCTCACAGACAGAGTTACGGAGCAACAAGAGCAACAACAGGAGTACAGGAAGAACTGGGAAGAGAGGGAGAGAACCCACGTCGGGAATCTCCACCACTGGTGCCTGGAAGTCCCTGGTCAGGTACGGCTCGAGAGAGGCTGTTACATGGCTTCTTTCTCCCTTTGAGAACATCTGCTGAGCTTCATCTCCGTCAGCTGGATGTACCGAACCACATTGGTGTCTGCGAGGAGAGAAAACACACCTCAGGGCTACCCAGCAAGGATTATGGTGGTGACTTCGGAGGAGGGGCAAGCTCGGTGACAGGCTAGACTCACTCAGCCAAGGTCCTCTCTGCCTTGCCCTAGGAGTGGCAGACAGAGCAGCTAGATGGCAGCCTTTTCCTCATTGCTTCTCTAGCAAATATGACCCACCTACTGTGACCGGAAGGGGTGGGCAGGAAGTGCTCTTCTCTGACACCGGAAGTAGTTAATCTCAGTGATCCTTGTGTTAGTGCAGTTAGCTGAGAGCCTGCTTGGCACTAACCCTCGGGCCAGCCCCCAACTTTTCTACCCTTGTGACTCATTTACAAGAAACAACATTCGTTTTTAAAGACTATGATTTTTTTTTTAAGTTAAAGAAATGTCGCTTATATCTGGTTGTAGTTAACGGAGGAGTTGTTGCCCAGGCTGGTCTCAAACTCCTGGAGTCAAGTGATATTTTTGCCCTTGTTCCCCAGGTACTTGGGGCTACAGGTATACTCCGCAGGGCTTGCTTGTGTGTGGCTTTCTAAAGCCTTCACTATCCTTTCTAGCTCTTAACAATCCTCGAGGCATATAGCCTGACCCTTACTGTGGCAAAAGGGAAGATTGGGACTCAGGAAGATTAAGATGCTCAGGGAGCCAGGCTTCGTGGCTCACTTCTCTGATCCCAGCGCTTAGATGACAGAACTCTGTGACTTTGAAGCCAGTCTGGTCAACATAATGAGTTCTAGGACACCCTGGGCTATTTAGAAAGACCCTGTCAGCAAAACAAAACAAACGAAACAAAAACCCAACCAAATAAACAACAACAAAAAAACCGACCCAAAACCTCAAGTAGCTAATGTAGTGATCGGCACACCTGCCCAAGCCTGATTCTCTTGGACATCATGGTACCCTTCTCGAAGAGCTGCGGTGGAAGGGAATCTAAAAGCTCTTAACACCGTGACCCATAAACACGAATCGGATGTGTTGTTTTGCTTAGCTTAGGAGCTTAAAATGACTTTGCTCCACGATCATTTTCATCATTGTAATTATTGCCAGATAACCAGTCCTCATCTGGAGCAGCCTCTCCGAATGCCAGTCCTTATGGTAAGTGAGTGCTGTGTGGCATGCCAGAGTCACTTAGCTCTGACTGCACACAACGGAGGAATCACACCGCTGCCTGGGATACCTACTTGTGGAAATAAAATGGTAGTGCACCATGCTTAAAAGCTGTAGGCATAGCATCCTGTCCTGGCGTACAGCAGGTGCTCCAGAAAACTCTGTTGGACGTTAGCAACTTGAGAAGTTCTTAAAGATGGATTGGAGGAAATCTTGCTATGTTAACTGATCAACCACATGACGTCAAGCCATAGTCCTTGGAGGGGCTTTTGGACCCCCTGCCCTAAAACAGTATTCCCTTTACTGTGTCTTATTTCCTACATAGCATTCACTACTGCCAAATAAGCATTACCTGCTTGTCCGTCTGTGGGCTTCCTTCATTATAATGAACATTCCTTGCTAAGTGTGGCAGCATACACTTATAATTCCAGCACTTGGGGGAGGCAGGAGGATGAGGAGTTTAAGTACAGCCTGGTTGATACAGCAAGACTTTGTCTCAAAAGAAAAAAAACCTAAGCGAAAACACAAACCCAAATAAAACAAGTAACTCTTCCCTCTGTTGCTCAGGCTGGTCTTGAACTCCTAGGCTTAAGAGATGCTCCTGCCACAGCGTCCTGAACGATAGGACTGCAAGCACAGGACGCTGGACACAGCAGCAGTCTTCTTGGCTCACCGTACTTTGTCCACTGCACTATCTCAACAAATACTCATAGAATGAAAGAGTGATTGGGAGAGCTAATACACTCGATCCGAAGGAACACCAGCTGATTGGAGAAGTCAGTGCATGCTTCCTGAAAGATGCCGGGCATCAAAAGTTTCTGCTTGCTTCTGTCTTGTCAGTCAAGTGTGGATTCATGGAAAAGGGAGGCGCCTATTGTCTATATCCCCTGGTGCCTGGTACAGCTTGTGCTACATAGTAAGAACTCTGAGAAAGGCAAAAACCAATTCTACTAATTCTATAGTGTGGGGTTGGGGATTTAGCTCAGTGTTAGAGTGCTTGCCTAGAAAGCGCAAGGCCCTGGGTTCGGTCCTCAGCTATGAAAAAAAAAAAAAGACAAAATTCTATACTGTATCTGAAGAGAAGGGGTGCCCAGGGTCCCTGGAAACCAGATCTCAGGTGAAGTTATGGACCCTCCTCATTCCAGGTCTTGCCCACACCCGAGCCCTCGTTTTTCTATCTCCGGTCCCGCCTAGTCCTGCCAGCCACACACACCATCTTCTGTGGTAAGCAGGCCCCAAGAATTGTGTCTGTAGTGAGAAAGCAGAGATATCTGTCTCACCTGTGGGCTGTCGGGTCCTTGCTTCTTTTAGGTAGTAGAGAGCTTTGTCGTAGTCCCCAAGATGATAGAAAGCCACACCAGATCTGTAAAGAGCTTTGAAGTTCTCTCCTTCCTTCTTCAGGACCTTGAGGCAATACTCCTTGACTCTCTCATAATTTACCAGCTCAGCCTGGAGCAGGCAGGCTATGGAAGGGGGGAAAATAAAGAGAAAACGCCTTTACAAAACCAGAGGCTACAACGTCTTCAGTTAGCTTGTGGCCCACCACGGCCCACATGGGTTCCAGGATAGCTCTGAGTTCAGCTCAGCCCAACTCTGTAGATGACAGTGTCAGTGTCGTCCTGTTACAGTGATAAACATCCCTGCCTCATCTGTTCATCCCAGAGGACACTGAGCACAACTGAAGCCTCCCCTGGAGTTTACGACACGGAATCTGCCATCCAAAAATCGCTGCTTACAGGACTAGCTTCACCACCAACATGTCACATAACTTTAAGCATGTTACGTAGACTCGTATCATAGATCAAATTATGTCTCCCCTAAAAGATACACGGGATGTTATCAGCTGTCAGTATGTGAGAATGTGACCTTGTCTGGAGACAGGATCGCAGAGAGAATTGTTTTAAAAGCAGGTCACTAGAGTAGGCCCAAATCTGATGTGACTGCTGTCCTTGTGAAAAGGGAACTATGTACACAGAGAAGGACAACAGGAAGGCACACAACGGAAGACAGCTGGCTGTGCCCATAGCAAGGAATGCCTGAGGCTCCCAGAGGGTAGGAGTGAGAATCTGGGTGGGCCACGAAGTGGACTTCAGAAAATGGAACAAACTTTCCATCACAAGCCTCCTAAAGAAACGACCCACTGACACCCTCATTTAGGACTTCTAGCCTCCAGAGCCAGATGATAACACATCTGTGTGAGTGAAGCCATCTAGTTAATGGAACTTTGTAGTTTGTGGGACTTTGCTACAGAAGCCCAAGAAAGGAGCTATCAAAGGCAAGGGTAACAAGGCTAACTAATACCTGTTGACTGCTTGTCTTACGCCGGAGGCGTGTCTCACCATTCTGTACGCATTTTATCTGATGTGATCCTCAGAATATTCCTGTGTGGGTACAATTAGCATCCCATTTTACAGATAAGGATAACTTAGCCTTTAAGAATGTAAGAATGTTCATGAGAATACACAATGTACGACAGACAAGGATAAGGTTTAAACTGAAGCTGCCTGGCTCCACAGCCTAGAGTCTGACTTATCAGGGTGTAGGTTGTAGGATACAAAATAATGACCAGAAAGTACTTAATACATAGCGTGGCATGCAAGGAATGATCAAATGGTGCTTGTTAACTTTACTCTGACTCTGTTCAGCGTATACCAAGGATGTGTGCCCCTGACCACCATTAAGGCAGGTCTTGGTCTCTCTCTGTCCTTCTTTCTTGCTTCTATGGTTCTTTAGAATAGGGGCTTTCTGATGGACTAGTGACCAGCTCATACAGGGTCCATTCTTGACATGGAACCCTCAGAGTACCCTGCAAGAGGAAGCTAAGGGGGGCAGGTGCTTATTCTATAATTAGCCGTGTCAGGCAAATTCATATAGAACGGTTAAAATCCTCCCTTGAAGGATTTTCTCGTTGGCCTAAGCCACAGCTGGGGTAGGATGAGAGTGTTCCTGGAGGGAAGCTGAACCATCTTGGAAAGTAGTTGAAATTTTGGGCCCTGAGCATGTCACTATGAGTCTGCAGAGACATTTCTAACATATTTAGTAAGCTCTGACTCACAGCAAAGAGGTTCAGGTAGGGGAGAGTGGGAAAGAACTTATCTTTTCCTTCAAATCAGAGACAGTGGCCACCCTAGGCCAGCCAGGATGGGAGGGGCTGCTTACAGCTGTGTGGATTTTTTCCAGTACTCACATTAGAAGTGTCTTGACAACACTTGCAATCTTAATTAATTAACTGTTTTTTTGTTTTTGTTGTTGTTGTTGTTTTTGTTTGTTTGTTTGTTTGTTTTGAGACAGGGTCTCACCGTGTAGTTCTGGGTGGCATGGAACTCTCTATGTAGACCAGGTTGACCTCAACTGAACAGAGCCCTATGTGCCTCTGCCTCCTGCGTGTATGAGAGGCATGTGCCACTGCACCCAGCGACTGACTTTAATCTTAAGAGTTCTGATTTCACTTGTTTCCACCCTTTCTGTAGCATCCTGTCACACATTCTGAACCCAAACCCCATCCTTTTGCAGACTAACAGGTGAGCCACGTGGAACTCAGCCTGAGGATAAGAGAACCAGGAAGTGAAAGAGATCAGGAGACCAACCCACCAGGTTTTTCTGGCTGTTAGGCAAAAGCCAGTCAGCAGGGCTGTTCACCCAGAGTCATAAGCTGTCGGTGCACCAGAGGCTCCCTCTCCATGAGCTGATGCCACAACTCCTCTCTCCCTCCACCCTGCCCAGCCTAGCTACCTTCAGCAGTGGGATCCTGGACTCCTGACTTTTCCCCAGCCCCAGGCTCTACTCACAGGGAGAGCTTTGAAATCGGTTTCTCGATGTGCTCCCACGGACAGCTACCTACCCAGATGGGACCTGACTCCTACATCTGCTCTTAGAGCAGAGGGATTTTCTGTGTGTTGCTTCCCGTGTCCTGTGTGGCACCTTCTCTGACTCAGCACCTACTCCTGGTCTCACTCTCCGTCTCTAAACAGATACTTCTGTTTATTGACCTGGACAGTGTAGGAAACAGGACACTGCCTCTTTTGAAACAGTCTTTGGATGTCTAAAGCATCAGAGAAAGGAAGTAGGAGGCTGGAAATAGGAAAGCCTCACCCTCTCCCAGCCCCTAATAGGGAAGGCAAGTACAATCACCTATTTGGCCCTCAGCTCATAAAAGTATTTCTAAATCCCTTGTAGGGAATCCTATGGGAATTGGGGCACCTGGCTATGGACCAGGGTTCAGACCTGATGGGAGGCAAGGCCTAGCTTGTTAGTAACAGGGCGTGGAAACCCTGCTCACAATGGAGGCAGCACCCAGGGAGGCCTAAGTGGGCAGCCTTCCAGAGTAAGGCTGAAGCAGAAGGTGGAACTTGAGACGTGGAATCCAGATAAGGAGCTAGGTGCCAGGCCAGGGTTTGAAAGAAGATGCAGGTGGAGTGGGTGAGAGGCTGGAGGTGACCTGAGCCTACCTGCAGGTGACACAGGGGCACCTCTAAGCTTTGGAAGGGGAATTTGCTAGGCACATGTAACCAATCTATAGTAAGACAATGCATTTATAGGCACCTTCGACTGTAGAGGAACTTAAGAATAAGGTGACAGACTGTTTCCAACCATCCATCCTTCTGTCTGTGGGCCTGGAGTTTACAAGGGCTCTTCACAGTAAGCGTGTGTGTGTGTGTGTGTGTGTGTGTGTGTAAGAAAGTGTGGCAATAGCTGTCCCCTGAGAGGACAGAGAGGTCTGCCAGAGCCTGACCAATACAGAGGTGGATGCTTGCAGCCAACCATCGGACTGAGCACGGGGACCCCAATTGGGGCTCAGTCAATGACCCAATGGAGTTAGGGAAGGAACTGAAAGGTTTTGCAACCCCATAGGAAGAACAACAATGTCAACCAGCCAGACCCTCCCAGAGCTCTCAGGGACTAAACCACCAACCAAAGAGCGCGTATATACCTAGGGACCCATGGCTCCAGCTGCTTATGTAGAAGAGGATGGCCTTATCTGGCATCAGTGAGAGGGGAGGCCTTTGGTCCTGTGGAGGCTTGATGCCCCAGCGTAGGGGAATGCTAGGGCTGTGAGGTGGGAGTGGGTGGGTGGGTGGGGGAGCATGCTCATAGAAGCAGGGGGAGGAGGGGTGGGATAGGAGATTTGAGGAGAGGAAACTGGGAAGGGGGATACCACTTGAAATGTAAATAAATAAAATAACCAATAAAAAGCAAAAGAAAAGAAAGTGTGATGTGTGGACACATGAGCGTGTACATAGAAGCACTGTGTGTGTGTGTGTGCAAAGGCCAGAAGAGGTTGTAGGGTATTGTGGTCTAGCACGTTCCATTTATTCCCTTGATACAGGCTTCTTCATACCTGGATACTGACTTCCTGATACCTGGACCTGGGCTGGCGGCCAACACCAGCAAATTTCTTGTCTTTTTCACATCCTCATCTGAGCTATGGTTACAGACATGCCTATGACCACACCTGGCTTTCATGTGGGATCTGAGATCTGAACTCAGGTCCTCACGATGGTGCAGCAAGCACTCCTACACAGCGAGTCAACTCCCCAGCCTCGTCCTTACAGTAACGTGTCCCTCACTGGCTTGTCAGAGCCAGGCTCAGTACCTCACACACACTGTGCAGAGCCAGGCTCGGCACCTCACACACACTGTGCAGAGCCAGGCTCAGTACCTCACACACACTGTGCAGAGCCAGGCTCGGCACCTCACACACACTGTGCAGAGCCAGGCTGGGTACCTCACACACACTGTGCAGAGCCAGGCTGGGTACCTCACACACACTGTGCGGAGCCAGGCTCGGCACCTCACACACACTGTGCGGAGCCAGGCTCAGTACCTCACACACACTGTGCGGAGCGTCTTTACACAACTCTATGGAACAGGTTCTATTTTTATGCTCCTTCTTAAACGATGAAATTGAGTTTGGAGAAATTAAGCAACTTGCCGAAGGCCACTCAACTACGGGGGTGGGGTGGGAGGTTAGAACTGTGCTATCAGGCCATTTCTGCCAGACTCCCCAGAGTGTGTCAGAATACTGGAGTGTCTGCATTTGAGGCTCTCAAACCCAGGTCACCCCTGGGAAGAAAGAACACCTTGCAAGTACTGTGTCCAAGAGCAGCAGGTGATAATGTGCTTCGTGGAACACAGACACCGGGTGGGAAAAGGGGCCAATGTGCTGTTCCCTACCCCATGAGTTTTTAACCTGTGGCCACAGGCTATATGTGTCCCTGGCTAGCTATGGCTGTGACCCAACCCGTTTGTAGATGTCATAAAACAGGGTCAAGTTATGGATACCCCTAGTCTATCCCCTGGGTTGAGAGACTGCTAAGAAATCAGTGTTACATTATAAGGGAAAGGGCAGAGTGGAAACACTACTGGACTAGGGGAGGGGCCTCCATTCAACCTAAAGCACCAGGGGAGGCCTTCCTGGAAGAGCGACATTTAAGGTGAAAGTGGAATACTGGTAGTTTCTAAC